CTTTCCCTTCCCTTTCCCCATCCTTTCTCCTTTCTCAGCAGGACTGAAAATTCCACATCTTTGATGTCTGACTTTCTGGTGTTTAAAAAATAAAGTAGAGATGAAACCAGCTGAAGGTATAGAATACAAACCAGTGTAAGGTCCATGTAAAGATACCCCAGCTGGCTTGTTGTTGACAGTCCTAGATGTTGAAAATGGTTTAGGCAGCAAGATCCCTGTGGCTGTGGACTTTAAAACGGTTACTTTGTGCATCTGAGCTTTGGAAATGGCAAACTGGAAATGGTGGATTGAAGTTGACATCCTGTCATGAAAAACCGATGGCCTGGTTAATCCAGCATCGGTATTTTGTCATTTCTGTCCAGATCAACTGACTTCCGTGGGCACTGCTTAGAAACAAAAATGTTTTCATTTGCAAATTATCATTGTATTTTTGGATTCAAAAAATGATTGCTACTGCACAACACACTTCCTCTGCAACAGACTGCCCACATGGGAAACCATTCTGGTCTGTCCTGTTGCTGGGTGTCTTTATGTGTATAATTATGGTTGGACAACTCACCAAGCAGAAACTGTTAGATAAAATGTTCATTTTAGCTTTTCAGTATTGCTTCCTCTGTTTTTGTTAAATATCATTTATTGCTATCAGGATCCTGATTATGAAACAAGTCCTGTTTTAAAGTTTCTGAATGAAATGATGACTTAACATTCCTTAAAATATTTATTGCAAGTTTAAAAATACCTTTTTCTAATGTGTACTGTTTAACTCAAATACTGGTATATGTCTGCAGCAGAGTTAGAACTACACAGGAATACTTTTTGTGACAAGAATTTGCAGTAGGTGACACTGAAATAAGAAATGTTTCATGTTTCTGAAGACTGTGAAAACGTCACTAGTTGGCAAGCTTGTTCAGTTTAGTTGCTAGAACTGCATTTTTCAACAACATTTATGAAGTATATAGTTGTACAAACTTAGAGATACCCACTTGATATTTGACTGAATTTTTCTTAATATAGTGAAAGTTTTATAATTGTAATTGCTAAGCTTTAATTATTGAATTATCTGTTCTACAAAAATGTTTTAATTACTTGGAGTTCATTTGATCCAAAATAATGCATGGCCATTGTTTCTTGGAGTTTTAAAATGACCGTGTTTTAAGAACTACATTTGCTTGCCTAACTTAATAGAGGAATATTTTGGGAAACTCTTATTGTAGATCTTTGTTTAATGCATATTTTTCTTCACCAGATAGTTGCAATGGTAAAAATAATTGTGTTTGCCATCTAGCTAAGGTGAGGCTGTTACTGATATTGTGGATTTTGCATTCTCCTTAATGGTCTGGAGTTTACGGCTCTGCTGTGTGCTGAAGTGCTTGAGGTGTCTGCTGGAGATTAAATTGTAGCCTGACTGATAAAACTCAAGCAGAGCAAGACTGATCCTTTTCTGGTTTATTGTTTGACTTAAATAAGTGATTTAATCAATTTACTGTGTAATGTATGTTAATATCATTGTTTCATGAATATTGACAAAAATCTTTTTAAACTTGCAGCAAGTAGTGGCAGCAATAAATTCAGGAATCATACCTTTAGGAAACATATCTACTCAGAACAGTCACTGGGACTTGGGAAGTTCCTTCTTCTTTGCTGGCACTGTTATTACCACCATAGGTAGGACACACCTTATTATCTTTTTATAGTAAATGAGCTGAAACTATTTGATTTCCAGTGTGTGCACATATTTGTTAATGGCAAATATTCCAAATCTTTTGGTTTAAAGTAGTTACTTTTTAGGTGCAGGGACAGAAATTATAGCTGTTTGTAAGGATTCCTAGCTGAGTAAATGATTCTCCTGTAGAAGAAAAATGTTGCTGTGTATTTCTGCGAGGTGACTAGAAGAGGTTGTGGAAACATTTTCTGTGGGAATTTGGTCAAGTGTGTAATCACAAGTGTTAAATAGGGCATGATTTAAAGCACATGTGCATTAAACCTTGAATGAGATGTATGGAATTTCAAGTCTGTATAATCCCATTCTATGTTGCTGTTTTCTCTAAGTTCTGAAAAAGATGAGAACAGGGTAAAGACTCAGTTCAACTTAATCAGTTTTCAGTGTTGTATTCATGAGCAGATTTACATTCAAAGGCTTACTTGTAGGCTTCTGTTGCCTTCAGAGAAGTCCAAGGCTGCAGGGTGATTTATCCGTGCTCACAAACCTGGGGAATTTTCTGGATCGTTTCTGCAGGAGCCACCGTCCCTCTGGACGTGTGTGAACAGGAGCAGCACTTGATCTTTCAGTTTCTTCCCCTTGACTACGATATAGTGCACATGGCACACACTTCAGAGGTGTAGTGTGGCTCACAGATTGTAGAAGGGTCATCCACAAGGTGAAATTTGAAGAAGAAAGCAAATAAGAAAAAATTAAGACCCGCATTATGAGGGTAATAAGGAATTGTAGCACTGTTACAATAATTGTCTCTATGTAACATTTACATGCATATTGTGATGGAAGGGGATATTCTTTTTAAGTGTTGTATGTAACTTTGTTCTTTCTTTAGAAGTACATGAGTACTATATTTCTTTTTGTGTTTGAGTATATATATATAAATATGTCTATGTGTAGTATTTTTTTCACATCTAGGATAATTGAAACACAGGTTTAGTGAAAACGAAGTGAAACTTTTATGTCTCTGAGGTTAGTAACAAATGATGATTTTATAATAGTAGGTCCACAAGGTAATAAAAAAACAAGTATTGAGAAATGTAATTTTAACAGATTATAACCAAGAAAAGCAAGAACCTTGAAAGGATAGCTTTATGATGAGTCTTATGTCCTGCTCTTCTGACAGCACAAAACTTTATGTTTTAGGTAAGTATCTGTGGTCCTGCAGAAAGTGCTTAATATTGGTTTCAGTTTCCAATAAGAATAAAAGTTAATGTATGAAACGTGTTCAAGGAATTAAATGATTCAAAAAATTATTTGAAAGCAGCGGAACATTTTCTTTCACTATTTGTTTCTAAGTAAAACTAAGACTTTTCTAAATAAAAATGTTTCCTGATTGAATTTATTGACCTGATTCAACCAAAACATGTGTGAGTCCTGCTTAGAGAAGAGAGGGGGATCTGCAGAGGCATCCAGGCCACAGATCTGCTGTCCCCACGAGGCACGATAACCCAATAGGAAATGCATTTGAAAGTTAATATTTCAGATCATTTCTGCAAACCAGAGTCATCAGAATCAGGTCAGTCTAGGCAACTGTAAATATTTATTTCAGGTTTTATGGTAGAAAACTGAGAAAATCTAGGGGAAAAAAAATCTTCCATAGAATATTATGGCTTTGGAGTAACTTTGTTTTTCGTCAGAGTCCCTTTCTGATGGGAAGCTCCCAGTCAGTTGCAGTTTTGAGCTTTGTTTCTTAGGACCTGAGGGCAGCATGCTTATATGGGAGCCGTAGTGTGGTTGGCGTTGTCTTACTGTGACAAACCATCTTCCCGATGGTTCACAGGGCTTGCAGTGTGACAGCAGGCCGAGCTGTCATGAACAGCCCTCGGCATTGTGACTTTCCCGTGA